AGCATGTCTGGCCGCCGCGCCACCCAGCCAGAGCCAGACACACTGCCACGCTGCCCTGCAGGAGCACACAGCTCCACTGCCCAGAACACTGTCCGCGCAGCGGCATGCCTGCGGGGGAGGGGGGACAGCAGGGGAGGGGCTGGGGGCTAGCCTCCCTGGCTGGGAGCTCAAGGGTCGGGCAGGACAGTCCCACGGGCCGAATGTGGCCTGCGGGCCTTAGTTTGCCCACCTCTGTACTAGAGAGACAAGGTGGGTGAGGTAATATATCTTTTATTGGACCAACTTCTGTTGATGAAAGAGACAAGCTTTCGAGCTTTCACCGTCAGAAGTTGGGCCAATAAAAGATATTACCTCACACATCTTCTCTCACCAATATCCTGAGACCCACATTGCTACAACACTGCAGTCAAAATACTAGTCATTTATCACATTATAAAAAAACAAAACACACAGTGATTTTTCTAAGAGACAAAGAAAAGCTGATGATCAAGCTGTTGAACGATAAAGGAAACGGAAATATGCCTGATTTATACCGGTGTAACTGCGAGCAGAATTTGACCTGATGTCTAGCATAGGTATGTCTACCACACAGGACCTTCTCTCACTAGGTTATTTAAACTTCTTTTAAAAAAATATTTATTGTTTTACAGTATTAACAGGGATGGAAATGAGAGAATGGGAGCACTCAGCAAGAGAGAATATAAGAGGGATGAAGAGTATTGTAGGGCCTTACAGGTAATTACAAGACACTTGACTTCAATGTAGGAGAGAAGGGTGATGCAGTCAGACTGGTGAGCTAAAATTATTTTAGTGGGTGCATTTTGTATGAACGGGAAAGGGGTGGCGGCTATTGAGTGACAAGGAAGAGGTTACAGAGATCCTGACTCAAAAGGAGGGTGTGGATCTGAATTTTAATTGCGTAGACAGAGAAAACAATTGATCACAGAAAGATTTTGTAGGAAGAACTGGCAAGGTATGGACATTTCCTGAATGTGGAGCAACAAGAATGGGAGTGGAAGATGACCCCAGGTTACAGGCCTGGGTGATAGGCAGGACTGTGGTGTGCATAAACAGTGACACAGAAGTGGTGGGGTGTTCCTTTCCTCCTGTTGTCTCTTGTGCTGAAGACATTGTAAATTGACCTCCTGTACTACTATTAATTTATGGTGACTGTTTCAAAGCATCAACATTTCAAAACATTTTATTTATTTTATATATATATAGAAAATAAACCTAATGCTGCCATCTTTATACATCACAAAGGAGCAGTAAAGGACACAGCACATGTAAATAAATGCCTCTTAAAATCTTTTTGACTCAAAAACAAAATTGCTTCAGTAAGTGTGTTAATGTACTGAAAGTTTAAATAAGGTTTTTTTTTATACACACAGGTGAACATTTTAAAGAATAGAAGCCTGAAATTAAATTCCTACGTCTGTATTTAGGCATCTAAGAGTGGGATTTTCAAAAGCACTTAAGTGGCTTGGGAGTATAAGTCCCACTGACTTCAAACCTCACAGGAGGAGTGTAGCCAGGTTAAACATTTCAGTTTTCTTGATTTGTAGAAAAAGAACGTATTTGAAGATGGTATTGGTTCCGAATAGAACACAGGCTATTGGCTTATCAGTTTATGTTGTTTGTTGTGACGGCTGTAAGCATGGAAACTTCCAAGACTACTCTATTGAGATGTGCCACACACTCGACACATATTGATTCAATAGCCTATGAATATGCTAAGTGGAGTGTGTATCTTTGTGTTCTGGATCACTGGGTGGGTTTACTGTGGAATCTGGCATTGATGGAATGTATTTACTACAAATTCCAATGCTGGTTATGCACATGCCCAACACTTTGAATCTTCAGTATCAGGAGATAGCAGGACAGCAATCGCTGAACTAAACACCAGCTTTCTATGGGGATCACAGTGGGTTGCAGGAGGAAACTGCAGCCTAAATCTCCTATCTAGAGGAAGAGGAACACAAGTTCCCCCTCTGAGAAAGTCTAAAGGCCCCAGAACTGACACACATGGCGGTAGCCATGTGATAATATAGTGTTTACCAGTGCCCACCCTTCATAAAGCAGAGCATTTATTCAGAACAAACTCATTACAGAGAAAACATATCTTAAACAATGAACAGTCTGGACTCATGCTAAGCTTACCAGGTATTATCTGTCATGCGCATGGGATGCTGGCAGTTCTGTACACAAGTCTGTCAGTTCTTTGTTCCACAGTGAGTCTGCCCTGAGCCAGGTCAGGCTGACCCTTTATACACAGTTTTTGACACCTTTTTCTCCCAGGCCTTCTGACCTAGGTAAAACTAATCTCTGCCACTTTCCCCAGGGACCAAAGCTTCAAAGGGCTGGGTATCTGCATACCTGGCATTGGGAATTTGCAATAATTACCCCCTTCCTCCACCCAGTGATTCCATAGGAAACCCACTCAGAGAGCCAGGAACACAAAGATATATTACACTTATTGATACAATAGTCCATGAATTTCCTGTGTGCCCATAGCATCTGGCACATCTCAATACATTAGTCTTTGAAGCTTCCATGCTAACAAGGTCTCAAATCTGTCTCACCGTTCTCATAGTTAAAGTGTTAATGAAGCCCTAGACTTGTCTTTCTCTGCACAGATGAGCATTTTAAGTGTGAAACTCTCATTTTTAGAAAAAAATCTCCAGGTAAAATCTAAAATTCTATTAACAATTAGGAAACTAAAGAAACAAGTACAAAACAGCCACTTGAGCACTTTAAGAAAGTAAAGTTCTACCAACATGTACATACATTTTTTTTAAATTAAAAATTGATTTTTAAGTCATGGGTTGTTGTTTTTTTTAAGTTAGTCAGACTGAGGATTATAAAACCTATTTATAGGAGATCAAAATAATTACATTAGTTGTGAACATTTACTTCATCCTCCTGATGTCATTTTAGGACTATGTGACTGCCCATGAATATAAAAACAACATGCCTTTATTCTCCTTAAACATACAGAATTATGTATTCTTAAAATCATTGATAATTTGCCTTATATTGCCACCAGAGAAGTATTTTATATTGGTTGTTACAGGAATATTTATGGTAGCATCAGTGATGTGAAAAGCTATTAAAAGCAATCACACAAGATCTGGCGTGGTGACAATGGTGAAAACATTTTGAAAGAATGAAAAAGCACTGGAGGCAGAGTTTGCAACAAATAGTTTCCAAACCAAACACCCACTTGAAACTGGACAACTTAACATGTTACAACAAAGTGCCTGCCCACAAAACCATGTAAAGTAAAAGGTGAAATGTGAGTCAGTGTCCCTCCTTCCCTCCCTCCCTTTCTCTCTCTCTCTCTCTCTCTCTCACACATGCCCCCCACATCCACCGGTAGACCTCCCTCTGCTGGCTTGACACTCACCAGGCTGCTGTGTTTGGGCCCCCTGTGCTTTAAGCCTCCTGAGTCTGAAGAAGAGAGTCCAGGCACTGTCTCTTACCACGGTCTCTAGGCATACTGTCAGAGAGCAGATCTCTGTCTTAGGATGACCATACGTCCTGTTTTGGCTGGGACAATCCCTTTTTTAAGGGCAGACACGGGCATCCCAAAGTTGCCAAGAGCAAAGGGACAAATGCCCACTTTTGCCAAAAAAAAAAAAAGTGGGGTATGGGAAGAATGCCAGCCCCACGCGGGGGGAGGAGGCAGGCAGGGCTCAAGCGAGCAGCGACGCCAGCCTCAACGTTTGGGAAATATGGCCACCCTTTCTGTCTAGCACCCCTTTCTAAGAGCTGAGGCCTTGTGGTCCACTGCCTACCAGGGCCGGCTCCAGGCACCAGGCACCCAAGCTGGTGCTTGGGGCGGCACCTGGAGGGGGGCGGCGGCGCGGCGCTGCGGCCGCCGGGGAGAGCTGGGCCACAGCAGGGCTCGCTGCCCTCCCCCCGCGCTCTGGCCGCCCTCCCCCCGGCCACCGGGGGGAGAGCGGCAAGCCCCTGCCGGGGCTCGCCGCCCTGCACTCTGGCCGCCGGGGGGGAGAGCCGAGCCCCAGCCGGGGCTCGCCGCCCTGCCCCCGGCGCCCTGCCCCCCCCCCCTTCCCCCGCGGGGGGGGAAGGGGGGGGCGGCCGGAGGCTTTTTCGCCTGGGGCGGCGAAAAAGCCAGAGCCGGCCCTGCTGCCTACACCCTCTGAGTAATGCTGGCTCCCCAGACTCCCCAGTGGCTTAAGCACACCATCTCTCAACTGCAGCCCTGTGGGTGCTCCAGGTTCATAGTTTAACTCTTCTGGGATACACAACAGCCTATGCAGACAGACACACAGACAGACTTTGCATAGGATTCTAAGGCAAATTACCCTTTACTTAAATAACACAAGAAATATACAGATCTATACAAAATAATAAACACACCTGTACACATTTCCCTGCCTCAGCTTTCTCGCCATGCTGAAGAGTTCTTTAGGTTTAGGGTAGAGTCTTCTCAGGAGTCCAGAATCACCCCTCCTGTAGTTCAGGGCTTCTCCTCTGAATCATGGAGCCTCCCCGCCCCCACCCCCAACCCCTGCAATCCATGCCCATGCTTCCTCTAAAATGGCAGGTGAGAGACCCTTTCTTTTATAACCTTCTGTTCCCTTTGGCAGTAACATAACTATCGGGCTTATTAGGGGAGCAGGTGATCCCTTGTTCTGTGCCCCCCCCACCCCATAGTTCAGACTTGAAAAATTGGCTTGCCCTAGGCAGTAGCCATCTCTTTGTCCAAGGGTGCGCCATTTGAATGGACAATCACAGTTTAACAACCCTCTGTTGTTAGCCCTGTGCAAGAATTTCTCTTGTTACCCACTGTGGGTTTTAGCTTAATATGGAAAAACAAAGACAGCTGAGAAGGCAAAGACGAGCCTTACAATCCAAATAGAGTTTGCACCCTGAAACTGACGTTTACAGAGTTAATAATCTCAATCAGAATTCATAAGTGGTACCCTGTCAGATTCCCCAAATTGTCACGTACAGAGTAAGTAATACGTTCCTACCTATTAATAGAAAAGGAAGCAATGGATCTGATAAGGGATGCCACCGCTCCAACTTTACCAGCTTCAACTGCTCCCAGTAATCTGTATTTGACAGTTTCTTCATAACTGATGAAAGGCTGGTTGTAAACAACAATCTTCCCCTTGGCGTCTTGAGCTCTTTTGTGCAGTTCATCAAAAGAGGTGACCACTAGGACTTCAGCAGTAATTCCTAGAAGTAAACATCACAGTAGTTTTAGATGTGTTATCCTATCACCAGCCCCAAGCCACTTTGGCACATACAAAAATACACGTCATGTACAGCATGTGTAATGCAAACCAAGAAGAGGAGGTCAAACATGAAAACCTCTTACTGGAAAAGATAGCATGTAAAGTACTTCCTCAGAGAAGGTTATTCAAAATGTATAACCATGTCCTTAGTATAAATCATGCTATCAGCTGATGTTAAAATTGAACATGAAGGCAAGAGAAGATGTGAGAAAAGACTTTTTCCAAATAGGCTTTAATGCATGAATGCAATTATTTAAAGTGCAAAAAACATTTTGAAAGACTTTCTATGGCATTTATAAAACAGATATGTAATCTTCTCTTGTAATTGTTCTGATATGTTGCTAAACAACTTAGACTGACATCACACATATGAAAATACATAGTTTTGGAATGATACTCTTAGAAACTGATGCATTCCATGAATCAAGCTTTTCACAAATGGTTAATGTGAATATTTACAATTCTTGAAGATAAACTGGCTGTAAAACCCTTTGTAATATATTTAAAATAAAACACACTTCTCATGCTTAATCTACAGTACAAGTTAATTGCATCACAGAGGAAAATTTACCATATTTTTCAAATGAAATATTTTGAAATTTTAGAAATTGTCTAAGGAAACAAAGGAATTTAAAAGTAAGCAGGTTCTCCCATACCACAGAAAGTTTCCCACATCTCAGAACATTCATTTGGAGATTACCCTTAAATGTCGATTTCACCACAAACATACAAAGCCACATCAGTAAGAATCGATATTTACAGCTAGGCAAAGAAAGAAAAATGTCGCTTGAAAACTCAGTCAAATCCAGTGATTAGACTTTTGGATTAGGTTTGTTACAAATGGACTAATGAATGAATAGTGAGAATGGGTATGATCTCTTGATTTAAGGATATTTACTTTGTATATTTTAACATGCTATGTTGACAATTTGTGTTCATAACAGTTTTTATAAAGGTTTAATTTTTTGAATCTCAACGTCTATTACCATTAAATAAATGTCTGACCCTCCCATAATTTCCTGTAACTATGAAAATTGGGGGAAAAGATCAAAATCTAAAAAAAATGCTTAAAAACAAACAGATATCTGTCAAAATTATTTTGAATATTGAATTCTACCAAGCCCAATGGATTGCTTGGCTTTTGAGAAATCATTCACAAAATTTGACCACAATGCTTAAGATCCAATCCTGTGGATTGGTTACAGTGATAAGTGGAAACTGTTTAACAACCAGGACCAGACTTTGCTGCTAAATATAGAAGCAGTATGGATGCCTGGAGTTTTAGTGCTGTACATTTGACCAAGAAGCCACAAAACACGTCAGTAAAAACAGAAAGTAACAACAAATGCTTGGCCAGCTTGGTTTGCTCCACAAGTTATTGCAAAATTTTAAAAAGCTAGGTATCCTTGCAAGTCTTAAATAGCTCACTATAAAACATTATTAAAATGTTATTTGGGAAAGCTTTTAAGTTAATTGCATATGTTAAAGAATTCTTAATGTTGTTATCTGATGTGCACTGCTAGACTCTCTCTCAGCATCAACTTATCCAAGTTAAATGCTCACTTTGTGGTTTTTTGGGTTTGTTTTTTTAAGATCAAAACAGTATAAATTGCCTTCCACTCATGAAAGAAAATGTTTCATATCAAAAAAGTCTGTTTCTTAAAATACACAGTTGTAAGAATGCAGCAGGCAACTATTGATGGGGGGGGGGAGAGACGAGTTTTAGCTGCAGAACTACCCTCATGTGAAAGGTGTGAAAATTTTAATTGGATAGCTGTTCAAACTTCTAGCTTTACAGAAAGGGCCACGGCAGGCCAAACCAAAGTATTACCTTCAAATTTTACTGAAGTTATAGTTGGCTTGTAGGTGAAGTGTACTGATAGGCTCCAGCTGCTTCTAATGAACTACAGATTGAACTGTATACCTAAGGAATGTCCCAATGACAGGATCATTCTGAAGTCTGGAACTGTGCCACTGGAAATAAAGCCAGGTATCTGCAAAATTTCATTTTCCACTAGAAAAATCAAGGTTACAGCAGGCTGGTACTGCAATCCGCACTTCATATTAGCTTTCGTAACAGATGAGAGAAAATGACACCGTCTATCTCACCCCAATGCTCCACTTAGATGCCATACCAAGCATCAGAACGACATGCAATGTACTATTGATTGCTCATCAAGGGAAGCAAGGAATGGAACTGCTCTTGGCACTGCCTTACTGCATTAATGAACAAAAATATAATCTCTGATTTTTTTTTTTTTTTAAGGGAAGGTACTTGCTATCTCTCGCAACCTATAACTCCCTAAGTAAATTCATGCAGAATTACCTTTATGATCTTCAGAGAAGCTAGGTATCAAGGAGCTTTGTACTGTGGAGTCTTATTTTTTTATTCCCAAGAAAGAGAACGCAGAATGACAAACTTAATTCGCTAGCTTTATACTTCTACTTTTGATTGTTCCCAAATAGGTTTGCTTTATTTAGCCTTTGACAAAATAAAACAAAGTTTCTCTTTGTATGTTTAACTTAATGGCAGCATGATATACATAAAGTATCAATTACAGTACTTTCCACAGTACAACCCAACTTCACTCCTGTGTAGCTGCCGACTAATTCAGTGTCTCATTAGCATATTTAGATCACATTCTATAGCATATCAGTCGTATCTATTAACAAGGTAATAGAAGCATTTCACTAAAAGAAACAATAGGGTTTCAGCTGTGAAGGTAACAATGAGACCAAAGGCCAAGTAGTTCATCCCAAAGAGGAGCAAGTCTGGATTGCTGTCAAAAAATGGGGCACTGCCTCATATAATACCTTACTGAAGCTTTTTATTCTTTGGTAATAAACAGTCCCTCATCCCCAAAAACTTAGTGTCTCACCACTCTATTTTCTTGGTGAATTTATAAAGACATTCTTCAATCCATTTCTTATTTCTACCATTGTCTGTCACAGAAGTCAGCTGCAAGCTGCACTGTGGATAAGCTCAGACAACCTATATGATGAGGTAGCTGGACTGCTCATACTACAGAGGACAGATAAACTAAAAAACACATGGGGGTGAAGAAGAGTGAGTGTCATTTTCAGAGACTGGCCAAGAAAAGGGAATAGATGGTACTGAGGGGCTGAGAAATGAGACGTGTTTACTCTGGATGAGGTTGAAGCCCCCCATGGCAGACACTGTTGGTGGGTGTTACACAGTACATGCCTATACAGCAAGGGTACGTCTACACTTACCGGAGGGTCCGGCGGCAGGCAATCGATGTTCTGGGATCGATCCCGGAAGTGCTCGCCGTCGACGCCGGTACTCCAGCTCGCCGAGAGGAGTACGCGGCATCGACGGGGGAGCCTTCCTGCCGCGTCTGGAAGTTCGGACTAAGGTACTTCGAATTCAGCTACGTTATTAACGTAGCTGAATTTGCGTACCTTAGTCCGAAGTGGGGGGGTAGTGTGGACCAGGCCCAAGTGAAGGTGGGACTGTAACATGGGTAGACATACCCGCACTATATTTAATCTAATTAGGACGTGTAGCAATCATGAAGATGTGGCAGCACAGGCTTCAGCATGGGCTAGCCACCCCAGTACAAGCCTGCTGGGGTCCCTATGTACATACTTGCATTGCTAGCCCCCAGGGCCACAGAGGTTTTGGGGGACCCAGGGCAAAATCTGAAACCGAGGCCCACCACACTCCAGAAAAACAAACTTACTACTGAAGGGAGACCCTGGGGCACGAGGGGGTTGCAAAGTGAGCCTGCCTGCACCCACCCCCAGCAGCAGCTCCTATGGCGTGGACCCAGTTCCCTGTTCAGGCGTTGCAACCTTGCCCATGGGATTGCAGCACCACTCAGATTTGGCCTGGCCACACCTCACCATCATGATGGAGAGACACTCGGGCCAAATTTGAATGAGTGCCATTGCGACCTGGCCCGTGGGGTTGCAGCATCACTCAAGTTTGCACCAGGTCACAATGCTGCTCAATTTAGGAGAGCCCAGGACAAACTGCCCTTTTTGCATCCCCAAACTGTGGGCAACACTAGTAGCCAGTGCAGAAGCCCGTATCACCATGTCTTCACTACTATTGTTACCTATTCTAGCTAGTTTAAAGCTAGCATGGCTATGCCTACCCATGCTACAGTCGCACCTTCACTTGCACCGACTACCCAATATGAGGCAAATTACATAAGTCATAGGGCATACAGCTATTGGGGTGAGCCACTACCCAACCAAATCCACTCAAACCCATGAGGCTCCTCCAATTTTTCCAGATGAAATAATAATTAGGGCCATGTTATAAATGGGGGGTGGGAAAATGAGGACAGTGGAAAACAGTGGGAATAAGCGGACTGGAAACAACCTTCTACTGCAGGCCAACTTTTATACAAAAGATTTCATTGCACAAATGTAGGTTCATAACTAATGCTAAAAGCCTGGCTAATACAAAAGTTTGCCACAGCACACAGGTAACTATAGTAGACTCTGCATTAGCAAAGTCTTAAATCCTTGTTTAGTCAGGAAGGCTGATTAGAACTATTCATTCACAGCCCAGGAAAGGCTAATAAACAAATCCTACCTGTAAATCTGATTTCTGCAAAGTTGTCATAACACCACATGTCTGACACCTGTCATGAAAATTCTCTCTGGAGATTCAGCTTCCAGCACCAGCCTGCCAGATGTGACACCAGAAGCAGATCAGTTCAGATCGATATATGTAGAATTACCCCAAAAGACAATTTACTCACCCCAAGGTTAAATCCTTTAACCACTTAAAATCATTGTAGTGGTCAACACCTAGTACCCTGAACTGGACAGCTGTTTGTATCATCAATGAGTTTCAGATTACAGTAATAATGAAAGGTATGTTTACTCCCAATTATAGGAATTCAAGAATTCACAAATCTCTACCAGGCAGCCTGATGGCAACTTTTTTATAGACAGACATTCTCT